ATTAGACCTCGCCATCCCTGGGGGGCTGCGATCTGCGAAACTGTCGCCATTTTCGAGGCCTGCTGGGGGGCCCAGCACAGTGAGGGCCACGCGCTGATTCAAATTAGACCTCGCCATCCCTGGGGGGCTGCGATCTGCGAAACTGTCGCCATTTTCGAGGCCTGCTGGGGGGCCCAGCACAGTGAGGGTAATCGCCGCGGATTCAAATTAGACATCGCCATCCCTGGGGGGCTGCGATCTGCGAAACTGTCGCCATTTTCGAGGCCTGCTGGGGGGCCCAGCACAGTGAGGGCCACGGGCAGATTCAAATTAGACCTCGCCATCCCTGGGGGGCTGCGATCTGCGAAACTGTCGCCATTTTCGAGGCCTGCTGGGGGGCCCAGCACAGTGAGGGCCACGGGCAGATTCAAATGAGACCTCGCCATCCCTGCGGGGCTGCGATCTGCGAACCTGTCGCCACTTTCGAGGCCTGCTGTGATCCCCGTTTTCGAAGTGGCTAGGAGTGCTCAGGAATTGTAAATCATCAGCTTTATCAAGCCCTTTTCCTGTAGCCAGTGTCCTGCGAGTCTCCCGAATTCCGTCTGCAGACATATGTAACCCTCGCTCCGTCATCGCCCCCTTATAAAGTATCCTAAACTATTTGCGCCCCGCTTTTGCGCAGGGGTTGGGTACGTCGCCAGGGTAATTTCCCCCCTCGCTCGCTGCCGATAGACCTGGGCATGCACTGGCAGGTGGAACTGGACGTGCGTTGGCACATGGGCTTGGACGTCAATTTGACGGCGCGTTTGGGCGGGGGTCTATGCGGACGTCAGTCCTGGCATGAGTTCCGACGTGGGCTTGGACGTGTTTCGGGACGTGAGTTTGGACCTGGATTTGGACATGCGCTAGGCTAGGTGTGCCATACCTTACAAATAGGGGTCGTTACACTCGTAGGGATCCACGCACACTTTCTCATCCGCAGCGTTGTATCAAGCACTGGCCAGGCACAGCCACACAAAGGGTTCCACACAATGCTCTGCACGTAGGACTCCACAAACATAGGACTTCACAGGCTTCAGCTTCCACTCAACGTGTGGCTCCACACGCTCACGCACAGACAAGGTTCCACACACACATGGCGCCACGATCGTTGCACGAACGAGTTGCTTAGGGTCCGCGCGCTGGCACCACAACACGCAAGGTGAGCTATGCTGGCACACGGACCCGCCAAAAACTAAATTCGCTCTCGCGCGAGTGGCCCTTCGCCGGAGGGACCTCTGGTGCGGGCCCAGGGGGGGTCCCCCGACCCTTGCAGGCGAGGCGACGGCAGCGCCTTGCGCGCTCGCGTGCTCAGCCAAGGCGT